ATATTATAATGTCATTAAAAGATTTCCACCTGAATTTTCTAAACTATCATGACCTAATCTATTTGTTCAATTATATAAGTATACACTAACAGCAGAGCCGCAGAAACAATGATGAATGTGATTAATTATTTGGAATTCAGATTGACTATGGCATGTTGACAGAAAATTAAATATTGCTATTAATACGATGCCAATCCAAATGATTGACATGCCAAGTAATCGGATCATAATAAAACCAACAGCTATAAGTTAACATAACAATTTCTCAAATATCGTGTTCCATATACATCATGAATTTGTTAGAAATCCATCAAATATCTATGATAAATTTCTATCAATCTTGATGAACAAAATTGATATCACTACATAATGACAATGAATTATGAGAAAATAAAAGAAGACAATTATTTTCTGCAGAGTTTCTCTCTGTCCACAAACTATGGAAAACTTTATTAATCACTTGGAACTGCAAATTCAATGAATTGACTTGATTACAAAATTAGGGGTTACTCCCTCTATTTATAGATTTAGGTGAGTCTGCTCCCTAAGCCAAAACCCAAAACTATAAAAATCCAAAATACTTATTTTAGTACTAATCTATCTATTTTAGATCTAAATCAAATTTATCTAAAAACCAATCAAATATGTGTAGTTTGCTTCGATCCACAAGCTCTTCGACTGGGCACCCTCCCTTCGACACACGCACTATTTTGACACAATCGAATTACAGTTTAACACACCACCTAATTCATTGTGTCTAAACTATCTATATTCATCACGGTTCTTAGTCTTCTGAATACTTCGACCTGCACTCCCTTCGTCATGATGTATGCAATCTGATTCTCAGTTCTGCAGTGTTCCAAATTCATCTTCACATCTGCTACCTGCTCTCGAAGATAGTGGAACCTCATTTCGATGTGCTATCGGGTTCTTCGCCAGATTGATAGCTGACATGTTGTCGATCTTCATGGTAATTTCTCCATGATATTTCCCTGTTATCTCTTCGACCAAGTTCACCATCTAAGTTGCTTGACATGCACAAAGAGAAGCAGCTTTGTATTCTGCTGCGCATGATGATAATGCCACTACTTGTTTCTTTCTTGAACTCCAAGCAACTGGTGCACCACCTAACATAAACACATATCCTGCTGTTGATTTTCGATCTTCAGCATCACTACACCAACTCGAATCAGTGTATCCCACTAACTTGCATTCTTTTCCTTTATCAGCTGCAGGAAACAAAATGTCATAGTCGAGAGTTCCTTTGAGATACTTTAGTATCCTCTTCACCGCTGCTAGATGTGATACCTTTAACTTCTGCATGAATCTACTTACCATACCTACACTATATTCTAAGTCAGGCTTTGTATGACAAAGGTATCTCAATGACCCAATAAGTCTTCTGTATTGGGTTGGATCGACATCATCTTCATTTGCATCTTTCGATAGTTGCAGTCTTGGTTCTGCAGGTGTCGAAGTTGAGTTGCATTCTTCCATCTCAAATCTCTTGAGAATTTCTACTGCATATCTTCTTTGATGCATCATCAAACCTCTATTGCTCTTGTAGAACTTGATGCCAAAGAAATATGAAATCTCATCCAGATCAGACATTTCGAATTCCTTGCTGAGATCACCTTTAAAGTCTTTGATCTCACTTTTGCAGTTATCTGTTATCAACAAATCATCGATATAAAGACATAGTATAAGCAATTCACTATTGCTTCTTCTTACATATACTCCATGTTCAGTTATACACTTCACAAATTCCTTCTCCCTTAAGAAACTATCATTTTTCTTATTCCAAGCTCTTGGAGCTTGTTTCAATCCATATAGGGCATTATGCAGCCTGTACACTTTTCTCTCTTCGTCATGTTTCACAAATCCAACTGGTTGTTTAACATAAACTTCTTCGTCTAAGGGTCCATTCAGGAATGCACACTTCACTTTCATCTGACATATGTGTCATCTGTTTATTTCTGCTAGACCAACAATCAACCTGATTGTTTTGATCCTAGCAACAGGTGCAAAAACTTCATCGAAGTCTATTCCTTCTTTCTATAGAAATCCTTTCGCCACAAGCCTTGCTTTGTGTCGAGTTACTTCCCTTTTGGAATTCATTTTCACTTTGTATACCCACTTGACATCAATTTCCTTCTTACTTTGAGGCAATTCGATAAGTGACCAAGTGTTGTTGTCTTCGAAAAACTTCACTTATTTGTTTATTGCTTTCACCCACTTTGAATCCTTCAATGCTTCAGCTGCATTGACAGGTTCAACATCTGCATAGAAAGCATAATGTATCAACTCACCTTCATTATCTATCACATAATCTGATGTAATCACACAATCTTACAATCTTGCAGGCACGCGTCTTGTTCTTTGAGGTCTGCTTGTACTTGGTTGATCTATAACTGTTGGTTCCTCTTGTCGAACTTCTCTTTCGACTTGAGTTTCTGGTTCTTCAAGTAGGATTCTCACTGAATATTTCTTGAAATTTTCAGTCCAATCCCATTCTTTAAGCTCATCTATGATCACGTCCCTGTTGATCACAATCTGTTTGTTCACTGGGTCGAACAAGTTGAAACCTCCTGTCGAATGATATCCAACTAGAATCATTTGACTCGACTTGTCATCAAGTTTTCTTCTCAACTAATCTGGCACATGTCTATGTGCAATAGATCCAAACACCTTCAGATGACTCAAGCTAGGCTTCACACCAGACCAATATTCTTTTGGAATAATTTCTTCTAGCTTCTTTGTAGGATATCTGTTTAAAATGTATGTTGCAGTCGACACAACTTCACCCCAAAAATCTTTAGGTAAATTCTTGTCTTTCAACATACTTCTCATCATATTCATGATGGTTTAATTCTTCCTTTATGCAGTTTCATTATGCTGTGGAGTATAGGTTGGCACCACCTCATGCACAATCCCTTCATTTTCACATAACCTGTCGAAGTCTTTCGACACATACTCTCCACCATCATCAGTTCTAAAAACTTTGAGTTTTCGACCACTTTGTCTTCCGACCATAGACTTAAACTTGACAAATACCTCGATCACTTCACTTTTCTTCTTGATCAGGTAAGTCCACAGCTTCCGATTAAAATCATCCATGAATGTAACAAAGTATTTGTTACCTCCCATCGAATCCACCTGGATTGGTCCACATACATCAGAGTATATGACTTCAAGAATAACCTCCGACCTGCTTCCTGCATCCTTGCTGAAGCTATTCTTGTGCTGCTTCGCTTGCACACATTCCTCACATACCTCGTTTGGAATGTCGATTTCTAGCAATCCTGAAACCATATTTCTTCTCTTCAAATCTTTGATGTCTCTGAAGTTGAGATGACCTAGTCGATAATACCATATCCATTCATCTCTGCTAGCTGCAGTCGAAAGACACTTGTGCTCCATCACATTTAGTTCAATCTTGAAGGTTATATTCTGAGACATAGGAGCCTTCAAGATTAATCTTCCATTTGCGTCGACGACTCTCATCATCTTATCTTCGATCGACACTTTATAATTCTTTTCGACCAACTGCCATATACCGAGCAAATTGCTCTTCATGCCTGGTATGTACAACACATTGGAAATTACTGAACTCTTGCCATCTTTCATCATAATCATAACATCACCAATACCTTCAGCTGCTAGGGTATTGTCATTTGTGAATTTTACCATATTTATCATTGAGGGCTTTATGTTGACAAACCAGTCTTTCCTTCCAGACATATGTGATGAGCATCCTGAATCCAAGTACCATTGGTCCTTGAATCTATCTTCATCTCTTGTTGTGACCATCAACATCATCTCTTCTTCATGTTTTGCAAACTTTGCATCACTTTCTTGATTCTTTCGCTTTTCTGGACAATCACTCGAATAGTGACTATACTTCTGACAATTGTAACATTGAATGTGACTCTTGTCAGGTTTTCGAGCCCCACCTCTTCCTCTATTTACAACACCTCCTCTTTGGTTGCCTTGGTATGGTCTTCTCTGATTCGACATGTTTCCTTCATTCTGGTTTCCTCTACCATTCGATTTGTTGTAGCTTCCTCTACCTCTGTCGAACCACTTTCCTTTGCCTTTGGTTTCTTTTGCTGAATGTGTCTGCAAAGCCACATCACTCTTCGACTTGCCTGCAGCTCTTTCAGTCATCCTTTGTTCATGAGATTCAAGTGTCCCTTTAAGCTCTTCCTTTGTCAATTTCGACAAGTCTTTCCCCTCTTCTATAGTCACCACCACGTGGTCGAACTTAGGAGTCAAAGATCTCAAGATCTTCGAAACAACAACTCTTGTTGTTAATGTTTCTCCACATACCTTGATTTGATTCACTAGTTTTGTAACCCTAGTGAAGAAATCAGATATGCTCTCACTATCTTCCATCTGGAGCAATTCATACATTCTCTTGTGAGTTTATAACCTCACTTCTTTCACCTTTTTTGCACCACCAAAGGACTTCTCAAGAATCTCCCAAACTTCTTTTACAGATTCTGATTTTATAATGTTTGAAGATTATGTTGAATTGTTGTCGGTTTATCCGAAATGTGTGTTATGTATCTGTCTTATCTTAATTGAGAAAACTTTGATTATGTTGAATGATGTGACATCCTATTTACTGTTGATGTGAAAATTTTAAATTACTCTAATTTATTTTATTAAAATTACCGTTGAGAAAATAGGGTGTTACAATTATTCTGTCTTATCTATGTTAATTATTTAAACTAACTGATTAATTTAAATTCACATTTGGATAACTATGGACAAATATTTATTAAAGAATTTTTATGGTCTGAATACAATTCAAAAGCTCCTGAAAATATGCATGTAACTAACTTGTTAAGTAGTTGTGATTGAAATTTAAAGTTCTAATAGTTTTCCTCAATCTTTCTATTTACTCTCCTTCCATCTTGTTTTCTACAATCCTTCATCTCTTGCACCCACAAATTTACCAGCACTATGTTGACAACCATGTCTGCACCTGAGTAGATATGAGTGAACCATGTGCATATATGTGTTCACTAGTCAATCTTGGGGGAAAATCCAAAAGCCTGCAACATGTTTTCTGCTTCAGAGTGATCAATATGGTCCAGAAATCTCTCTTTTTCAAAGACAGCCCAATATCTTCTATTAAAACTGTCTTTTTTCATAGCTTGTCTTGTTGGTTATCATTTTTCTTCAAAGTTTTATATCTTAAAGTTTTTAATCGCAACATGAAGCATTCTTCGAGCATCGACTAGTTATATTATGCACATATGGTGGACTAGGGAAATTCATCTAAACTTGTGAAATTGCTTGCTCGAGATATTTGATGGTTTTCTGATATTTGAACACGCCCATAAACCAGAAATCAAAATTATCCACTGTAACTATATTTATGTACTTCTGTGTTGGTTTATCAACATTTTGACTTTGATTCACACACTTTATCTTTTTCGCAGGAATGGCAACCTGTACATTACAAATCTTGGATTAGGGAAATCGAGATATATGGAGAGCTTTGTTTCTGTACCATATATGTTCATGACTTACCTTATAGCGAATCCTACACATTTGACCTTTCTGATTAAAGACTTTTATGGATCTCTCACTGCAAAAGGCAACCTTTTCAGTGGAAATGAAGAGGAGACCAGCTAGAGGGCCAGATGTGGTCGACAGATAACACTGAGAAACTTTCAACAGCCTCTCTCCCTCTACCACGCTAAAATACTGCATGAACATTTTCTCCACTCCACCAACTTGAAGTATTCGAGCCCCTAAGCTCAACTTCCTTTTAATAGTTTCAGATATGTTTGTCCCTAATCTCACGGAAATTTCAGAATTACTATCGGCCTTCCTGCTGCGTTTTTTCTGGTTATAGTTTACTCTACCTGAAACGTTGAACCACTCTATATTAGTAAAACCATCAATACTTAATGAAATTAGATTAGATAATCTTGATAGGAAAAGAAAGTCTTACATTTGCTTTGATGTTTGGATGGATATTGAGATTGATGAGAGGCAGAATCAAGTAAGTATCTGTTATCCTGCTTTTGAAACTGGTTTTGTATGATTAGCTCGTGAAGAAGTGAGGTCTGCATGTTGAATGATTAATAAGGTTTGTGTTTTGTTGGTAGCTTGGTAAGGAAGCTATGGTAATTTGGTTAGATCAGTCCCTTTGTATCCTTAGGAGGTAATATTTAAAGGGATGAAAAGTAGGAAGGGAATCTTGATCCTTTTGTGGGATGACTCAACCATGATGTTGGTTGATGTAATAAAGACACTGCCGGCATAGAAAGTTGAAGGACTTAATTCAAGATAATATTTTGACATCATGGATTGTTTGGTTGCTTTAAGAAAAAGATGGTAAAGAAAGATATAAATTAGCTTTTTCATAGAAAAACTTAAAATGGTTTATTTTTAGAGGCTTAGAAAAAAGTTTATATATCTTCAAGAGCAAGATAACATGTTGTCGGCCAACCCTATGGAGAACAGCACTGTTTTGGAAAAGTGGGTATAAGCATCAGCAGAGTTTAATGATGTGGCATTATAATTTTATGATGCTAGACTTGTCTAAAATCTGTAGGTAGGTACGTACACCAAAAATGATGGCCGTGTTTACCTTGTGAGTGATTTATATGTAAGATAGACTATTGCTCAGCCTTCATTTTCAACATATATATGACTGAAATGCTAGTGATTTCGTCAACTATTATTAATAAATTACTTTAGCTTATTTTAGATAATTACTCAATTGATGGATTGCATCTTTAAATGGATAAGATTAGATAGTCCTAAATGCTCCTGTTTTAGGATTCAAATTGTGGCTGTAAGCACTGGACAGTTTCATCACACAAGTGTAAAGTTAAGGGTAGATGATAAGTGACTTAGAGTATCATTGCTAACTTCTTATAAGTTTGTTGTTATTGTGAATGATTTGGCAATCCCCTTTTTCACAAGTCTCCAAGACTTTTTGCATTGCATTTGTAGCACACAATGTCAATAGTTGGCCTGAGGCCACTTTCCATTTTCTAACAATCACAATAGTCATATTCTTGTCCCTTACAATGTCACAGCAAGCTCACTTTGACCCAACAAACAGTTTCCATGGCATTGTTACTTCCAATTCACACATTCCACAACCTTCATTTTGCGTTGAATATTAAATAAATTATAATGGTAAGCAAGCAAAATGGGTTGTTGATGTTCTTTTGAACAGAAAGTGGGCATATCAGTCACACAGGTTTGGCCTACGCTTTTTATTATTCCTTTTTTGGTTAAGCAAATGTGCAACTGCTTTTACATATGCATGTGAGGGATCGATACTGGACTAATAGTTTAGAGATTAAGTATCCACCACTTGTGTCATACTATGTTAATCCTGTTTAGTCTTTTCTTTTGTTACCATTAATAACTACGAATTGAATATATTTGATTATAATTTTAATTTTGTTTAACTATTTACCAGCCATCTAAGCCTATCGGAACCTTCGTATTACTTTTGCGTAGTTTTCTCGACCACTCGTGAGTCTTTTTAGGCTTTTAGATGTGGTGTTTTGACTTGTTATTTCATAGGAAAAACTTGGAGTTCCTACATCTATCTCATGAAGAAGTGAGATCTGCACTTTGATTGATTAATAAGGTTTGTGTTGTGTTGAAAGAGAAATTGTCTGGTAGATTGCTATGCTAACTTGGCTTGATTAATGCCTTGTGTTCTAAGGAATGTATTACTTAAAGGGGTTGAGATTAGGAAGTGAATCTTGTGGGATGACTCAACCAAAATCTTGGGGAGGAACAATACCATTGCCATGCTATCGCCCAAGTATAAGGAAATTATACCAGAAAAAGTAAAGAAAGAAATACTTTTGAAGTACTTTCTGATATGGTAACTTTCCTAAATGCTAAGGTAGTAAAAAGGTACAATGGTGTCCATCTTTACCCTCTAAACTATATCTAAGAGATGTCTAAAAACATGGTCTATTTGGAAAATACAATAGTCAATGTGGATGCACATGGAAATGATTTGGTAATTCCTTGTTGAAGATGAAGAATGTATTTCATCTTTCTCAGTTCAGTTAGAAAACGAAAGAGATAAGAGAATTGGAAATATTATCTTGTTATTCATTGGTGTAGAATCTACACAAGTCTTATATACAAAGGTCAAAGCCACGTCACCATTCAGTTACAAAGACTAACTGCTTTTCTATTTTACTAACACACTTAATTTACACTGAATGCGATATCTGGTCTTGTTAAAGTAACATTTTGGAGAGATCCAACAACTGATTTGTACAAGGAGGGATCAGAAAACAGAGTATCACCATGTTTGCTCAGTTTGCAGGTGCTAAGCATGGGTGTAGGGACCCCATTAGCATTATCCATGTTGGCTCTTGTAAGCAGATCCCTAATGTGTTTTGTCTGTAGCAGCATGAGGGAGCCATTGTCCTGAAACTTTACTTCAATGCCAAGAAATTATGAAGGCCTGCCTAATTTCTTTAAAGCAAACTGAGAATGTAACTTGTTAATCAAATCATGAATGAGAGTGGAGCTTGAGCCAGTGATTAAAATGTCATCTACATAAACCAAAATATAAAGTGTAGTGCCTTGGTGTTTGTAGAGAAAAAGAGAATGATCACATTTAGAGTGAGTGAACCCAAAGTGAAGGAGGGCTTGTGTCAGCTGTTCATACCATGCCATGGAGGCTTGTTTCAAGCCATAAATGGCTTTGTGAAGTTTACACGCAAGGCTTTTGTTAGAGTTAACAAAGCCAGGAGGCTGAGACATATATACTTCCTCATGTAGTTGACCATTTAAAAAGGCATTATTAACATCAATCTGTTGAATTTCCCATTTGTAGATAAGAGCCATAGTTAAAATTAACCTGATAGTTGTAGGCTTCACAACAAGGGAGAATGTTTCTGTGAAATCAAAACCCTGTTGTTGATGATAACCTTTTGCTACCAGCCTTGCTTTATACTTGTGAATGCTACCATCAGCATTTTCTTTGATTTTAAACACCCATCTGCAACCTACAACAGTTCTATGAGGAGGTAAGGTAGTTAATGACCAGGTTTTTTTGGCTATGAGTGCATCATACTCAGTCTTCATAGCCTGCATCCATTCAGGTTTTGTGAGAGCTAGCTTCGCACTGGTGGGTTCAGTATTAGTTAAAGCTATAAACGCTTTAGGTTTAGACTTGCCAGTTTTGGCTCTTGTAAGCATGGCATGGTTGTTTTTGAGAAGAGGAATAGAGGGTTCAGTGGAGTGTATAGAGGGTGAGGAAGAAGAAAGGGGGAACTGAAGAAAGTTGTCAAAGGAAGAGAACTAGTATTGCTAGCAGTATTATTTATGCCTGTATTTTCCTCAGGACTAAGTCCATTAAGGAAGAGGGCAGAAGAAGTACCCTTAGAGCAAGAACTTGTAGAGGCAGCTTTATCATGCTCAGTGTGACAATCATTAGTAGGCCTTAGGGAACTTTCACACTCAATCTCCTTAGGGTTACTAAGACAGTTATCAGTAGGACTTAAATTACTTTTGGACACAACCTGGCTATGTATTGTCTTATCAGCAAAGATGGGGCCAAATACACTCTCAAGAACTATTGACCCTTGGTTCTGAATAAATTGGAGCAGAAGTGGGGAAAGGTGAGTATGACTAGCCTGATGCTGCAGGCTAGGTTGGAATTTTTTACCAACATACACCCCTTTTAACAACTATATCCCAATATATCACACCTTTCAACCATAATTCCCAATATACCATCTTTTCAAAAAAAAAAAAATTGGAATTAGGAGGCTCCACCCAATGGATGGGCGGATGTTCTCAAAAATACACAGCTTCCGCCCATTGCATTGGCGGAGCTGTGTGATCAACGTTTTTTTTTTAAAAATAATTTTAAAAATATATTAAAATTGCTGTTAAATAAAAAAATAATATATTTGTATAAAATGAATTTGATATATTCAATTTTAAGTCATTTTAATAAAATTATTAAAATATTAAAATTTTAATATACAAAAAAATTTTATTTTAATGTAATTTTAAAAATAAATTAAAATTATTATTAAGTAAGAAATCAATATATTTGTATAAAATGAAATTGAATAATTCAAATTTAAGTCATTTTAAGTAAATTATAAAAATATTAATATACAAATAAAATTTATTTTAATGTAATTTTAAAAATAAATTAAATTTATTATTAAGTAAGAAATCAATAAATTTGTATAAAAAGAAATTGAAAAATTCAAATTTTAAGTCA